ATGGCGTGATTTCACTCTCCTTTATGACTGAGCAGTCTTCCACTGTATGTATGCACCACATCTTTATCCATGCCTCTGTTAGTGGGCGTTTAGGCTGTTCCCTGTTCTGGCTGTTGTGGATGGTGCTGCAGGGAACTCTGGGCAGCGTGTGCCTTTTGGAATCATGGTTTTCCCTGTATGCGTGCTCCGTGGTGGAGTTTCTGGGTCACATGGCAGCTCTGTTTAGTTTTGCAGGGACCTCCACACCGCTCTCCACAGTGGGGGCACCTGTTCGCAGTCCCACCAGCAGCACAGGAGGGCTCCGTTTTCTCCGCACCCTCCCCGGTGTTTGCTCTGTGTAGGTATTTTGGTGATGGCCATTCGGCTCAGTGGGAGTGGTGCCTCATTTTATAGGTGAGGGAAGCAAGCTCAGAGATAGTGAATGGTTTTTCCACATTGCATAGATGTTTAGGGCAGCGCAACAATGGAACTTAGTGCCCCTGGCCATTCATCTGGTGCAACTGGCCCATTTAATCAGCAGAGAGTGAGGGTGGTGCTGGGAAAAGTGAAGGCGAGACGTTCACAGAACCTTGACCGGGTGAAGCCCTGGGGGGTCGGGGGGTGGGACTCATGTTGATTGTCTGACTCATGGTCTCTGTGGCACTTTTTACCCACTTCCCCAAACCCCACTTTGCACTGTACCTACCCACCAAAACCTCAACCGAAGGTCAGGGTTGAAATTGTCTTTACCCTCAGCCTTCTGAGTCTGTGTGGAAAATCATGTGACTGGACAGGATGCCATAATTGCAGAATTATGAATCCCAGTGCTAAATAAATTTCCAGTGACACAGTAGTCACTTCATTGAGAGAAGATATGAGTAAGAGGATGAATGAACTAATTTTGGTCCAAGTAATGCTGAAGAAGTTGAAGCTGAGAGGTTCTATGAAGACCTACAAGACCTTCTAGAACTAACACCCAAAAAAGGTGTCCTTTTCATTATAGGGGACTGGAATGCAAAAGTAGGAAGTCAAGAAACACCTGGAGTAACAGGCAAGTTTGGCCTTGGAGTACAGAATGAAGTAGGGCAAAGGCTAAGAGAGTTCTGCCAAGAGAATGCACTGGTCATAGCAAACACCCTCTTCCAACAACACAAGAGAAGACTCTACACATGGACATCACCAGATGGTCAACACCAAAATCAGATTGATTATATTCTTTACAGCCAAAGATGGAGAAGCTTTATACAGTCAGCAAAAACAAGACCAGGAGCTGACTGTGGGTCAGATCACGAACTCCTCCTTATTGCCAAATTCAGACTTAAATTGAAGAAAGTAGGGAAAACCACTGGACTATTCAGGTATGACCTAAATAAAATCCCTTAGGATTATACAGTGGAAGTGACAAATAGATTAAAGGGATTACAGCTGATACACAGAATGCCTGAAGAACTATGGATGAAGATTTGTGACATTGTACAGGAGGCAGTGATCAAGACTATCCCTGAGAAAAAGAAATGCAAACAGGCAAAATGGTTGTCTTAGGAGTCCTTACAAATAGCTGAGAAAAGAAGAGAAATGAAAGGTAAAGAAGAAAAGGAAAGATATTCCCATCTGAATGCAGAGTTCCAAAGAATAGCCAGGAGAGGTAAGAAAGCCTTCCTCAGTGATCAGTGCAAATAAATAGAGGAAAACAATAAAATGGGAAAGTCTAGAGATCTCTTCAAGAAAATTAGAGATACCAAGGGAATATTTCATGCAAAGATGGGCTCAATAAAGGACAGAAATGGTATGAACCTAACAGAAACAAAAGATATTAAGAAGACATGGCAAGAATACACAGAAGAACTATACAAAAAAGATCTTCATGACCTAGATAACCATGAAGTTGTGATCACTCACCTAGAGCCAGACATCCTGGTATGCAAAGTCAAATGGGCCTTAGGGAGCATCACTACCAACAAAGCTAGTGGAGGAATGGAATTCCAGTTGAGCTATTTCAGATCCTGAAAGATGAGGCTGTGAAAGTGCTGTGCTCAATATGCCAGCAAATTTGGAAAACTCAGCAGTGGCCACAGGTCTGGAAAAGGTCAGTTTTCATTCTAATCCCAAAGAAAGGCAATCCCAAAGAATGCTCAAACTACCGCACAATTGCACTCATCTCACACGTTAGCAAAGTAATGCTCAAAATTCTCCAAGCCAAGCTTCAACAGTATGTGAACTGTGAACTTCCAGATGTTCAAGCTGGATTTAGAAAAGGCAGAGGAATGAGAGATCAAATTGCCATCATCCGTTGGATCATCGAAAAGAGAGTTTCAGAAAAACATCTACTTCTGCTTTATTGACTACACCAAAGCCTTTGACTATATGGATCACAACAAAGCTTGGAAAATTCTTCAAGAAATGGGGATACCAGATCATCTGACCTGTCTCCTGAGAAATCTGTACACAGGTCAAGAAGCAACAGATAGAACTGGGTGTGGAACAACAGATTGTTTTCAAATTGGGAAAGGAGTACGTCAAGGCTGTATATTGTCACCCTGCTTATTTAATTTATATGCAGAGTACATCATGAGAAATGCTGGACTGGATGAAGCACAAGCTGGAATCAAGATTACCAGGAGAAATATCAATAACCTCAGATATGCAGATGACACCACCCTAATGGCAGAAAGCAAAGAAGAACTAAAGAGCTCCTTGATGAAAGTGTAAGAGGAGAGTGGAAAACTTGGCTTAGAACTCAACATTCAGAAAACTAAGATCATGGCATCTGGTCCCATCACTTCATGGCAAATAGATGGGGAGATAGTGGAAACAGTGACAAGACTTTATTTTTGGGGGCTCCATAATCACTGCAGATTGTGACTGCAGCCATGAAATTAAAAGACACTTCCTCCTTGGAAGGAAAGTTATGACCAACCTAAATAGCATATTAAAAAGCAGAGACATTACTTTGCCAACAAAGGTCTGTCTGGTCAAAGCTATGCCTTTTCCACTGGTCATGTATGGATGTGAGTTGGATTATAAAGAAAGCTGAGCGCTGAAGAATTGATGCTTTGAACTGTTGGAGTTTTGAACTGTTGGTGTTGGAGAAGACTCTTAAAGAGTCACTTGGACTGCAAGGAGATCCAACCAGTCCATCCTAAAGGAAATCAGTCCTGAACATTCATTGGAAGGACTGATTTTGAAGCTGAAATTCCAGTATTTTGGCCACATGATGCAAAGAGCTGACTCATTTGAAAAGACCCTGATGCTGGGAAAGATTGAGGGCAGGAGGAGAAGGGGACGACAGAGGATGAGATAGTTGGATGGCATCACCGACATGAGTTTGAGTAAAGTCAGGGAGCTGGTAAAGGACAGGGAAGCCTGGCGTGCTGCAGTCCACGGGGTCACAGAGAGTCAGACACGACTGAGTGACTGAAGTGTACTGAACTGAAGGACTCATAGTTGTCTCTGGTCAGTTTCTCTCCCATCCCCAAAGTCCCTAAAGGCACGAAGGAGAGCAGCAGTGAGCCCATTGTCTGCAGTTTAGATGCAACTCCATCAGCTCCCATCCATGTGCTCTTCAATGGTTATCTCTCTGTGGCTTTGGAACCTTCCCTGGAAAATGCGGTGGGTGGGAGATTAAAACATTTTGCACATTGCCTGGCACATCTGTGAATGTTTGTTGTTTGGTTGCTAAGTTGTGTCAGACTATTTTTTACTCCATACACTATAGCCCACCGGGCTATATAGTTCATGGGATTTCCTAGACAAGAATAGTGGAGTGAGTTGCCATTTCCTTCTCCAGGGGATTTTTCCTGACCCAGGGATCAAACCCGAGCCTCCTGTGTCTCCTGTATTGGTGACATTCTTTGTGCCACTGGGAAGGCTTTCAGTGAATATTCAGCTCAGTTCAGTTCAGTTGCTTAGTTGTGTCCAACTCTTTGCGACCATATGGACTGCAGCACGCCAGGCTTCCCTGTCCATCACCAACTCCCGGAGCTTGCTCAGACTCAAGGCCATCGAGTAGGTGACTGCCTGCAATGCAGGAGACCTGGATTCAGTCCCTGGCTTGGGAAGAGCCCCTGGAGAAGGGAAAGGCTACCCAGTACAGTGTTCTGGCCTGGAGAAGTCCATGGACTGTATAGTCCATGGAGTTGCAAAGAGTTGGACATGACTGATCAACTTTCACTTCAATGAATATAGTTTCTACTGGTACAATCACCCCAACCGCTGAGTCAAACTTGGGAAGACAATCTTGCCCTCTGCTGGATGGAGAAACTTGGAGCCATCGGGGTAAAGCAGCTCATGTTCAACTCCTACTCTCAGCTTAAAAACTGAGGACACACATACTTCAGTTTGCGTTTAGCAAGGTCACACCTTCAAGAGCGTTACTTCAGGTCAGGTCAGAATGCAGTATTAGAAATTTACAGGAGAAATAAAAACTGGGGTCATCTGAGAGAACGCCTTCCCCACACTGCTGGGGAAATTGAGACCTTGTAGTATAAATGTGGACAGTGGGTTTTTCTTTTCCTAAGGCAAGGGGTTGACTTAAGTGGCTGAGGCCTCCACTTCAAAGCTAGCTCTTTGAAATAAACACCAGCCACTCACGGGGCCAGACTGAAAAACCAGTCCTCCACCGCAGGCTTCTTGGTTTCGGAAATCGTGATTGATTTCAGTAGCTGACCATTTTGGCCGCTGCCCATGCTTTAAACTCCCCAATAAAGAAGAGCCTGCAAAACCGCAGGCCCTGCCCTGGACCGAGTCCTAGCAGAGCCCGGTTCAGGCTCATCCTCTCTGCCTCTCTCTCCTCTTCTCCCCCTCCTCTCCCCCGACGTGACTTCGCTGTGTGGCCTCCGGCGTGCCATGTAATTTCCAGGCCCCGTAAGTAGTAAGTCGTTTTCACTTGAGAGTTTCCTGATGGTTATTGCTGAGGGGGTCTTGCAATGATACTAAGAACCACAAGGGCCGGTCCAGCCGTGACATTGGGTATCAGTGGCCTGCGCAGGGTGAAGTGACTCCGGATTGACTCTGGCGACCAGGTGCGCGCCTCCCAGCGTGGAGCGTTTCTCATGCTGCCGTCTCTAAGGACACAGGCTGCGGTTTGCGCTCCGCTCCAATCTCCCTGACGCCCGTCGGCCCGGCCCGTCTCTCCCTGTTTATCCCTAACGGAGAGGACCCCCGGGTGCGTTGTGCAAGCCTGCCCTCTGCTGGACGCGAAGGAAAGTCCGCCGGGCAAGCCAGACGTCACGCCGAGAGCCGCTCTAAGAGGCAGCGGGCGCTTCGGGAGGCGTGCAGCCGCGTTCCAGGGGATCTCATCTCAGGCTGCAGAGTGTAGTGCTTTTATCACAGGATCTGGGTGAAAAACGAAAACCGAGTGAAGGAGCCGGGGCTGAGCATGGGAGTGTTAGTGTTTCCTTAGAGAGTAATATTGCGAGTGCCGTCAGTTCAGCCACCTCACCACTGTTCTGCTAGGTCTCAAGTGCCCAGCACATCCGTAAGAAGTGTTTTGCAGGTCCTACCCTCTGGCCTACCAAGGAACTCTCTCCTTTTTGTTTTACAATGAGTACCTGCAACGTGGTTCATTGATTTGTAATTTCTTAGTCTTCTAGAACGTGTTTGTCAGCTCAGCCCAAGGAATCCACGGGAACTGAAAATGTGGATTGAGTTTAACACTGTCAGTGTTGAGCCTAGCATTTCCTTGAAAGTGAGACTTTATGAGCTTAATTGGATTATTTGCTGTCAGTGTGTTGGGTCTGGCACTGACTGGGGGTGAGGATTGGGCGGGTTGTTTATAAGTCAAAGCATTTGTTTTTCCATCTGTAAAATGGAGATGTAAATATTATGAAATAGTAACTATTCCATAGTTTTTTTTCCCTGAAGAATAAATAAATTATTTCACTTATTTGGCACTATGGCTGATACATGGAAAATGCTTAGTAAATATTATTGTTAGAAGAAGAGCAAGGTAGTTGACTAGGGAGGAGGAGAAAGAAGTAGTTGTATCAGGTACGATTGGTGATTTTATAATCCTTGCTATGTTGCCTATTTGGCTTAGTAGTTAACTAAATTTTGTCAATTAGTGTTAATTTTATTAATATATAGATAAACCAAATTTTATGATTTAACTTCTCAGATTATCTAGTTGGAGAAATGACTTTAAAAAACAGTATTTCTTTTTTTCTTATTTCATAAAGTAATACATTCTCACTGCAGAAAAATTGAAAAATGCAGAAAAGCACCAAAGGAAAATAAATGTTCCACTCAAAGTTTATAACTGTCAAGGTTTTTGCATTTTATAAAGCTCTAATCATTAAATCACTCTCTTTTACAATTTACTCTTCTCAATTTTTATCATGAGCCTTCTCCCATAACAGAAAAATCAAGTTTTAGAAGAATATTTAAAGACTATCCATTTATATGAACACACCATGATGAAGTTAAGCAGAATTCCCTGTTGTCAGATGTTAGGTATTACCCAAACACACTGCATGATGGTGAATGTTGTGTGGAAACTTCTGGTGCCTAAATCTTTGCCCATTCTTAATATTTTTATTGAGAGTGACTGTTTCATTGGCAGTCGAGTTGCTAGGTTAAAAAAGTACAGCCAGTCTGCGAGAATGATTTTCTCGATAAAATCCATGGTTTAATTCTCAGAACGAGGCCACAAATAATCCACTGAATCTCAAAACTGGTGAAAATTAAAGCAAGGTCTAGCATCCAAGGGCTTCCCTGGTGGCTCAGATGGTAAAGAGATCTGGCTGCAATGCAGGAGATCCTGGTTCAGTCCTTGGGTCAGGAAGATCCCCTGGAGAAGGGAAAGGCAACCCCCTCCAGTATTCTTGCCTGGACAGAGTCCCATGGACAGAGGAGCCTGGTAGGTTACAATCCATGGGGTCGCAAGGAATTGGTCACGACTGAGCGACGAACACAACGCTGGCATCCCAACTCCAAAATCCGGGCCCCCTTAACTTCCCTGACCCTTTCTTGTGGTCTGTGCATCCCAGACCCCGGCTATCCATTCTTCACCTTATCGTAAAGCGTTCTGAACCCCTGGGAGGCAGGATCGAGCCTGGGCCGTGGACACAGTGGTGTGCTGGTGAATGTCTAACTGCCGGCTCTCTGGAGGGTGAGGGAAGCCCTACTTTACAGCATTGTGCAGTTTTGTTTTTTTTCTTTTGTGGAAAGCACTCCCACCATGGCAAGTTTTGCTAATAAGATGGCATAACTGAATGTGGAATTGGGAAGAGGAATCCACAGCGGGCTCTCGGGAGCTAGAAGGGGCCTGCTCCAACACACCACCAAGGGGGTCGATGCCTGGTCCACACGGCCCCCTGGTCCTCCTTCCCTCCCTGGGGTGTGTGAAGTCCAAGGGCACGCTTCATTCCTCCTTACCAATTAGGGTTTCAGGTGCCCAAGAAAGCACCTCCCTGTCTGCTTCCCTCCTGCATCTTCTCGTCAACAAGTCATGCTGCAAGGACGTAAGTACACAGGCTTCTTTCTCGTGATTACGGGTGACTAATATGTGTGTGTGCGCTCAGTCGCTCAGTCATGTCTGACTTTGCAGCCCCATGGACGGTAGCCCACCAGGCTCCTCTGTGCATGGGGATTCTGCAGGCCAGAATTCTGGAGTGGGTGGCCGTGCCCTCCTCCAGGGGATCTTCCCAGCCCAGGGATCGAGCCCAGGTCTCCCGCCGTGCAGGCAGATTCTTACCCGCGGAGCCGCCAGGGAAGCCTGGTAACTAGCACAGGGCCTCTCACTGTGGCACTGACTGGCTGGAGTCTGCTTATACTGCAGTGAGAATGGCTACCCTGAGATTCTTGCCTGTTTAGACTGTGAGAGGCAAACTAGATGAGTGTCGGACGCCAGAAGCGTTCATTTGCATCAACTACTTTGCTTTGCAAATTAAAAAAAGTTAAAATATGAGAGGGCCCTCGGCATGTCCAGTCACATTCCAGTTACGTTTCACAACTGTTGCCTGACATCCCTGTATGTGTCAGGGTTCATGCCGGCTGCGGGAATGGACACAGAGCTGGCCAAGAGGACGTGTCACGTGTGTCGTTAAAGTCGAGCATTTCCCAGTGCCAAGAACTGTGCTCAGTGATTCACATATATCACCCTGTGGTTCAGTCTTCATCATGAGCCTGCATGGAAGGCTGTTTCCACCTTTATCCCACAAAGAAGAAACAGATGTTAGGGCCTGACCCGTTCACTGATTACTTCTGAGTCACTCTGTACAATTCTGCTGGGGCTTCCATCCCGAAGGACCACAGACTGGGTAGCTTACACAACAGAAATTTGGTTTCTCACAGTTATTAGGTCCAACAGGCTCAGCTTCTGGAGAGGACTCTGTTTCCGGCTTGCAGATGGCCGTCTTCTCGTGGTGTTTTCACGTGAGAGCCTGGGTCCCCCTCTCTTTGTAAGAACTCCAGTCTTGTCAAGTTAGGACCCCGTCTTATGGCAGAGGGTAATCTTGATTACCTCCTAAGGACTCTATCTTGAAAGGCAGTCATGTTGGCAGTTGGGGCTTCAACTCATGAATTTTAGTGGGGAGACACAATTCATTCCATACCCTGTTTTTTACTCCTCAACAGGTCCAAGTTCATATAAAAATTAAAGGCACAGAGTAGAGTGTCACTCAGTCATTAAAAAAGAATGAAGTAATGCCCTTTCAGCAACATGGAGGGACCTAGAGATCGTCAACCTAAATGAAAGAGAAAGACTTATATGTGGAATCTAAAAAAGTGATACAAATAAGATCCTTTATATGTGGAATCTAAAAAAGTGATACAAATGAACTGATTAACAAAACAGAAATAGAGCCACAGACACAGAAAACGAACCGATGGCTACCAAAAGAGATAACAGTCAGTGAGAGCAAAAAATGGTACTTATCAGGAGGTAGCAGTCGGTGAGAGCAATAAATTAGGAGTTGGAAATACAGATACATACTATTATGTATAAAATGGGTAAACAACAGGGACCTGCTGTGTGGCACAGAGAACTATAATAAGTACCTTGTAAGAACCGATGATGGAAAGGAATCTAGAAAAGAATGCATCTGTGTGTATATTACAGAGTCACTCTGCATCTGAAACTAACACAGCACTGTAAATTAACCGTACTTCGGTGAAAATGGTTAAAGAACTAGGGGTATGCAAATAATCATCGGAGGCAAGCTGTCTGTATTCACAGTCTGCCATCCCATGTGGCATATATGGTTAAGAGGAAAGGTAGGCTTTACCTTCCAAAACTACAATCTGAATGTGGTGTCAAGTCCAAATGCGACATTGCTATTGGAAGCCATACTTACATTTTCTTACAAAGTGCTTTTGAAAATAACGTATTAGCATAACTGTAATAGTTGAGCCCACTATTACCATAGTTCTTGACAAATAGAAGGCAGTTGGTTACACAAATCTTATTTTTTTAAGAAATACAATTGAGGTTTTTGGAGCGAAGGGAACTTTTGGTGGTCCACCTAAGTGGATGATGTGTTTTTAGGAGCAGAAGCCAGTTCAAAGTCCATGATACTCAGTGACCAACATTTTAGAGTATTAGCCACCTGATACATTATAATCCAAAATCGCCAGTTAAAAAAAAAAAAAGCTTTTATTATTAGCATAAAACGTTCCACAAAACTTTAAAAATTGCTTCTGTTTTATATAATTTGAAGTGTTGCTGAAATTCACTATATGATTCCAATGTGACAGTGTAGAATTGAGTATGGAGGCATGCATAATCCTCCTCTTAGAAGTCTAAAGGAGTTATAATTTCAAATTTTTGTGCAAATGAGATTAAATAATAATAAATTAGGTAAATTAAATCAAATTAAATCAACAGCTAAAAAAGAAGATAGGCTTTAATCACATGTTTGTTCTAAGTCACTTCAGTTGTGTCCGACTCTGTGCGACCCTATAAACTGTAGCCCAGGCTCCTCCGTCCATGGGATTCTCCAGGCAAGAGTACTGGAGTGGATGGCCATTCCCTTCTCCAGGGGATCTTCCCGACTCAGGGATGGGACCCCTGTGTCTTACATCTAACCTGCATTGGCAGGTGGGCTCTACCTCTAGCGCCACCTGGCGGCTTCCCTGGCGGCTCAGCTGGTAAAGAATCCACCTGCAATGCGGGAGACCTGGGTGCAGTCCCTGGGTTGGGAAGATCCCCTGGAGAAGGGGAAGGCTACCCACTCCACTCCTCGTCTCTCGCAATCACATGTTCAGTGTAGCAGTAAAAACAAAGGATTTAACCCCAGCGCAGGTGAATCTCCAACGCACTCTACTAAGCCAAAGAAGTCAGCCTCACGAAGACGGCATAACACGTGATTCCTTTCATGT